GCCTTAATTAGCGTATTAATTTTTTTCGAATAAAACATCAAATGTATATTTGATGCCTCATTAATTAAACATATTCTCCGTATATAGAAACAAACGTTACATGCAATGTTACTTAAGAAAAGTTTAATTAAATATTTTATTATTAATCAATTTCATTATAATAAAATATTTAAAAATATTTATTATAACGAAAATTAAATTTAAAATATTTATTGGGTACGAACTTGAATTTTTTTTTAAACGAGTATCTCTTAATAACGAAAGCGGGGCGTTACGCGAATTTATCTCTTCATTCGACAAACGTTTCGTCACGCATTTTCAGCACATCGTGCCGCGTAAAATCTCGATGCATTCAGACTCGCACGTTCAAGGTCGCAGGATTATACGCAACATCCGTGTACACGTGGCTGCCCGTGAGCGACGCACGCATCTTTTTTTTTCATCCCTTTCTCCCTCTCTCTCTCTCTCTCTCTCTTCTGGCCACCCTTCGCGAGGAGAAACCGGAGCGTGATGAAAATTGTCGAAGGGGGCGGAATTTAATTCGCGAGCATGCGCCGCGTCTATGGGGGTATCATCGGTGGGGTTGCCACTACCCTCACTACTGCCTCTGTGATGTTATTGATCAGGGATCTCTCTCTCTGTCTTTTCGTTCCGACGAAACGGCTAAAATATATTCCCGCACCGTGAGACACGGCGGTCCCGTTTTCGCGCACGTAAAAATTTATGCTACAATACGTAATTAATTTATGTGCTTTCGGGATTCTCTCGCGGAAATGTTTTATCGCGGTTGAAGAATGGGACGAATTATGGGACGGTAATAATCGCAAAACGCTATATAGAGATATAATTTATACGCGGCGGCTTTGGCGCGATATAAATATAACGTTGCATGCGCGATAATTATCTTGGAAACAATCTGAATAATATCTCGGAGTATCTTGACGAGCGAAGCGATAATTAAGATAATGAAATGATACAAATTGCCTTATCTCGCGCAATACATTACAGGGATATGAAACAACTCTTCAAAATGCTGCATTATAATGTTTATAGTATATATGTTTTATATATCTAATATCTTTACGTAATTTATGCCTACGCCAATGCAAATTAAATATAGTCCGCAACCGCTTACTTATTTTTATTTTGCGGCGACGAAGTCCTGTATCGCACGGTATCAAATATATATCCTATATATGTATACATGGTCGCTTCTGCACGCGATATTTTGTGCAGTTTTTTGCATTTGAGCGAAAATACCAAGCTGCTTACCGACATTTCATCGGCTTGCGCAAAATGCACTTTGCAGAGAAATGCGATGCATTCACAGTTGAAAAATTTGTGTTATTCAACAGATATCACATATCCCAAACGATCCTCAGAATTTTTTGTGTTAATTTAATAATATAGATACGTTAAATGAAGACACAAATATTAGTATTTTAACACAAAATAAATGCAAAACTTCAAGTAATTTAAAATAAATTTTGTGAAAAATTAAAATAGTTTTAATATAATCAACGTTTTTTTTCTGCAAATTTTAACAGATAAATCTTGTCACTAATAAAACAACATATTTATTATGTAAAATTAAAAATAGATGCACGTTGTGCTATTTTTACATCTTTTTTCAGTTGTTTTAATAATTTAACATTTAATTTCAATTAACACAACAGCAATATGTTAAATTAACACATGAATGTGTTACAAACATTTAACACGAGAATTTTAACGGGGACCGTTTTTAACAAAAAAAAAAACCATTTTCCTACTATGAATTGTATTAATCGAACGTGAATTTCATTAATTCTGGTTCGCCACCATCGCCAGAACCCTCCTCTCGCATCAATTAGAAATTTCCTCATCGAATGAGATTGTTATCCGCCTAATAGTAATAAAGATCCATTCGGTTAATGAAACGCGTGATTGCTGAAGAGGAGCTACGGGATGCCGCGGTTTCCTGATTAGATAGAGATAGAACACGAGAGGAGTCTCTCGACGCGATCCGACGCCAAGAAGCAGTGAAAGGAAGGACTCTGTCGATTAGACATCGAAGGAAAATCTCTCTCAATAATCTCCCACGAGGAACAGAACACGGCGATTTGTTGGAGAACTTGGTGAAATATACGGCAGTCGGCCGGATAATCATCATTTCTCGACAATTTATTAAAGTATTTCTGAACAAGGAAACAGGATCTGCGTAATTACGAGGCTATTAATTAAATTAATCGATGCTTTAGCGCGTCAGCATCGCTCATTATTTTAATACGAAATGTTAATTAAGATGTGTAAATTATTGTACAATTTTGCTCGAGAGAAACGAACGTAAACATCTGAGAAATCTTACGGAGAAGCAATGTAATCTTTTGTACAGAATGCATGAGATGTTATCACAGAGCGCACATCTTTCGAGATTACTGTTCCAAGTCACTGTAAATAATTTCTCATTAAATTGCGGCGAAGCTCGAGCCACGGAGGATAATAATTCCCCAGACAGAAGAGGACATAATAAACAGGCATAAATCACAGATTTGCATTTCACGCAGATCTCTGCGTCTCATTGTATTCCTTCGAGCCGCAAGCTAATAAGCAATTTGTCATTTAACCTGAATCAACCTCCGGAGACACCAAGAGTAGAAAAAGTATATAGCACATATATATTCCCTTCCCCACGAAGGAGAGAGACCAGCGTCTCCTAATTAAACGGAGAAAGGAGAGAAACTCGTCGTAAATCAGCGAAAAAGAAAGAGAAAGAGTGGAGAAGATGAAAAGCGGGATTGTTGAAGAACAACGAAATCGACCTCGAAGAGCACGGAAGCAGGAGAAGGGGAGAGAACCGAAGGAGAGGCTAATATAGGGGGGGATAGATCGAGTGAGTCAGTGATGGCGTGCAGCAGCAGCAGCAGCCCAGGCCGAGCCCAGCTGTTCCTCGGATCCCCTAACTTACGCCAGTTTATTTCAGCCACTAACACTACGCGGTCTCGCTGCCGCTCGCAGTCCGCAGACCTACGGGACACACGCGCAGCCTCCTCGTTAACGACGCCGCGGCTTCCTGAATCTCCTCACGCGTTTCCGTCATCCTCTTCCGGACGGAAGACCCTACGACGAGGGAGAGTCGCGGCTTCGTTCGCGGAACCAGTTTCCGATATATAATCTTGACGTCGCGATATACCCAGCCAGCTGTCCGTCGTTGCATTCGTGTGCGTTTATGTGCGTGCGTGCGTGCATATGTATATGTATATACATGTATGTAAGTGCGTCAGGTCGGCTCCGATTTATCAGAGCCCGTGGCGCGTTCTCCTCTTCTGTGAACGGTGCTAATCACTCGCTCCCGGCTCTTTCGTTTTCTTTATGCCTGTCCCCCTTTTCCAAGAACTGCCGACACGGAATCTTCCGTCGACGCCGATTTCCCTTTAATTGCGCGATGTGACATTCGTTTTCTTCGACCATTAGGCTGACTTCACTCGCGGTGTTATTCGCCTCTTGTCGATCCATTACGATCTGAGAATAATTTCGTTTAGATCGTCGTCTTTCTAACTGTATATTCATGTTGAAACATGTCGACAGGGTCATTTTGCATTTTGAAAGATTTCAAATAGATATTTACATTAAGTATAAATTATTCAGATCTAGAGTTAGATCTGATTGACAATTCGAATTAATTAATTCAATTTGAATTATCTTGTTGAAATAAAAATTTATAGATTTTTTAAATATATTTTATATATATATATACTTATGATTTATGATTTATTATTATAGTTTTATATATTTTTTATATATTTATAAAACTTTATTTGCATTTTCTATATAACTATTTCCTGTCATATTTTCATCTTCCTGTCAATTTTTTCTCCGCGAGAAAACGATGAATCAATAAGGAATGCCATTCATATCCTCGGCGAAGCGATCGAGACAGAGAGTCGATTGAATACGTTTCCGGTTAAAGTATTTTTGTCACCGGAGAGGGGGAAAAATGGGGGACGAAAGGATGAAGGGTCGGTCGCGTCAGCTGATCTAGATCACGATTACACGCGATCAATCGAACGATTATCGTCATGGAGACGCGCGACAGCCGAGAGAGTCTGTCTTATGCAGATAAACATGCGACACGCACGTGCGTAATATTGCGGCGCCGGTGCGTTTGCGAAATGCATACGCGCGTGGGTCGCGAACTGCAGCTGCATATAACTATAAATGGCATGCGCAAAAGCGATGAGGCATTGACACCGCGTGTTTCGCGGAGAGATAGATCGAAAATGGGGGAGACTATCGAAATGCGATATTCGCACTTGATCTGCATCGCATCTCCGCGCTTTACTTTAAAATAGAACGACGAATCTCGATGGAAGTGCGATGTTTGCTCGTCTGATTGAAATCTTGCACGCGGTAACTTGGACGAGAAGATCAGATTAGATCTTCTCCGGGTTCTCTTGAATGTCTCTCCTAAGTGTTAACTCTGAATGCGCCCTGATAACGCCGAAATTGAATATCACACTCGTCAGAGTCTCGTCTTCATTTCTTATTTCCTAAAACTGTCTTATAATGGATATACCAAGATGTCTAACGAAAATTTAATCGAGATAATGAAGAATAACCCACGTGTATTTTCCATAAGAAGAGATGGAGTTATATTATAAATTAGGATAAAAGTAAATATATATTTTGCTGTTAAAATTGTAAATACCAAAACAACCTACACAGAGAAATTTCTCTTAGAATTTGCCCTGAAAATCGTGGGACAATATCGTATGGGAAAAATTTTATAAGAGTTTCTCTGATTGAATATTTATCACGATAAAAAAATGAATATGTATCACAATAAGATATAAAATATGTTTGAAATTTATTATGGTAAATATTAATCAGAGAAACTCATCAAATTATTCCAATATCAACATATTGTTCCATGATTTTTAGGGTAAATTCTAAGAGAAAATTCCCCCGTGTATATTTTTCACGTGATCTCTAATTTTAATTAATTAAAATAAAAAGAGAATGAATAATTAATAGTTAAAAAAAAATTGACAAAATGCTTCATCAAGCCAGTCTTCCACATTCATTCTCCATATACGAAACACTGATTCTCGCGCTCAGTTATATACCTGTTTCGCGGGTTGAAAAGAGCTCTGGAGGGATGCATCCACCACGAGAGGGTGAAAATATAATATCCACGTGACTATAGACGCACGACTAATTGCACTCGTAGAATACATAGTTAAGTAGTGGGAGAAGAGCTCGCCGCGTCAAGGGTGCTCGTGGACCACCACAATGGCAGTTGTTGGTGGCTGAAATGCCAGAGGGACATTTTGAAAATCTTTGGTTCGGCGCATGCGTGCACTCGATGCAGCTTCCGATGGAGCGCGATGGACCGACCCGTCGTCGACTCTGAGCCGCTGTTGCTAGAAGAAACGATCCGTGCCGAGAAGAAGCTACGCATCTCCGACGATTTCGGGAGGCCTCGAATTTCTTCAGGGTGCTCCTCGGGATCCCGACAAATAGTTCTCAGTGCGTAATCAAGTGAGTGCGTTTCTAGCGCGAAAGAATCGTCTGCTCTCGTTTCGATACGATCGATAGCGAGAGAGATCTTTCCGGAGCGCGAGAAGAGAGTCTTCGCCCGAGGTGTTCGATCGCTGCGACAATTTTCAATGCGCGTCTCGTGACGAGACTGGCAGACGATCTCTGAACGAGTGAATGTTCCATGAGACTGAATTCGAGGCGCGGCGAGGGATGCCGGGTGAAAATCGCGACCAGCTGGCGCGAGGCGTTGAAGGAAACGTGGTGCCGGGAGGACACAGGGAGCCGGATCCTCGTAATCGAGGACAAGCCGCGACGATGATTCCGCTTCCACGCACCGGCCCGTTCGCGGCCGCCTCGCCGAATCAGAAGATCGTCAAGACCGAAAAAAATCGGCTGAGACTCATCCTGGAGAGTCGCGGGACCGTCGACAAGGAGCGAAGGCTTGGGATGCAGGAAGAGGAGGAGAAGGAGCAGGTATCGCAGGATAATTGGCAAGTGTCGGCCAATTGCTCGGCTATCGGCGAGGAACCCGGCGATTCGTATCGGAAGGGAAAGGTGATTAAATTATAGGCCAAATGTCTGTCGACCGAGGGAATGTTAAGTAGGTCGCTGAAATGTCAGGCTTTTAAACAATAGCTGTATCGATGATGCTCTTTTCTATATGTTACTTATTTTGAGATGTACCTTTTAATATTGATAAATGTTTGAGATATTTTTATTATTCATTTATTTATTATATATCCAAGACTATCGATTTAATCTTTGCGCGGCATGATGTGTGAAAAAAATAGCAATGACGCACAGAATTTTACATAAAATTAGAATAAGGTTGCATCAATGGCGAGTTGATATACCATATAAAAAAAAAATATTATTTTAAGGCTAATAATATGCATGTGTGGACGATATCTTCATTCATTCTCTCTAAGAGTGTTCCGCCTTTAAATTGGATGTTTAAAATTGAACAATGCTTTTCTCGCTAGATACGATTCATATATAACACGCACAAACTTGCCTCTCAAACTCTTCGGAGAATTAGGATAATTTGAACTAGCACAGATTTCCTTCCAAACAGGGCGCATCGCGTCACCTCTTTCGCAGCAATAACCGGAAATTTACTTTCGTCGTTCTCGCATCACTGATCGGCACGCTCTGTTTTCTATTTGCCTTTCGATATCAAACTCCCGAGATTGCCTTCCGAACACGTTATTCGCTTACTTATTCAGACTCTTCTCTAACTCGCGATATCGCGCCTATTTAAATTGCGTCGCTAACGCGCAACTAAGACGTCAAAAAATATAATTAACATAGTCGTAAACTCTTCTAGCATAACGTTCGAAATTACTTTATTTCTCAAATTTTTATCACCATAATTAAGACTTTATATTTTAATTGGAATTGAGACTTTCCATGTAAATTTAAAAAAATATATAAATTTTAATTTTATACTTAATATATCTTCTTTAATGTCGACGGAATAACGCGTGATTCACTTTGTCACTCGATTTTTCCGTAATTAAGGTCGAAACCGAGGCGAGGGGAAACTGCAACGCAACTGCGCCTGCGACAAACACGTAACACTTGTCGCAGTCTAGATTTCTCGTACGGAAACGCTTATTTAACGCGGTCTTAGATAACACGTATAATGACAAAAGGATACCTTCTCCACGCACAGTCTGCATTGAAAAAAAAATTTTTAACTTGACTAAACCTTTCAACTAAATTTATTATTTTGTTAATTAAACATATATTAGTATTTAAGTCAAATATACATTTTGTTAGAGATTTAATATTATATTTAATTTAAATATTTTTATATATTTTAATTCACAAAATATTTAGTTGAAAGTAAAAATATTTAATCAAATTAACAAATTTTGTTCAGTGTGTGATCAAAATACGCTTCTTCGTGTCGTAAATAAAATAAAAGTGGACTAGGAAACTGTTTTCCATGTTGTAACATAGTCCGATGTAATTATCGTTATTTCAACATTGAAACAAAATTATTAAATTGATAAATATTTATTTCAATACTGCGCTTTATAAATCATTATTTTGAAACAAATAAATATTTACCTGTTTTAAAAAAGATTTTCTTAGATGAAATAAATATTTCTTTATATCAAATCTATATTATTAATTACAAATAATTGATTTATAAAGGAGTATTGAAATAAATATTTATTTGAATTCAGAGTAGATATTTTTTCAATGAAGAAAAAAATCGTCACCATCTCTTAATGTCTTTTCTCGAGTTATTAACTTCTTCAAAATAATGAATATCTTTCGGAGAATTGTTATCACTTCGTTCCAATTGATAATGACGCAATACTTTTTCTGGGCATTTAATAATGACACATCGTCACATCACGATCGCATATAACGCAGAGTAATAACGATAATTATTTTCAGTCGGATAAAATAAATAATGCAGAGGAGAGTAATGCGTGGCATGATCGCAAATACTGCTATATCTTCCACCGCGATCGCAATTGAGTGAGTCATTTCGCCAATTACGAAGTCATTAAACTGTCGGATCCATTCCTCTTAAAACGAATCCCTCTTATCTCGATAACGTATCATCGACATTGCTCCGCTTTGCCAGTGCTCGTTTCAACGAGATGAATTTCGTTTACCTGATCTGTGACGGCGCTTACAGCAAATCGCGTAGATAAGAGCGGTCTAGTTTCGTTATCTGTCAATTCCGCGGATACGCCTCGTGCTACTGTCATGAGTGTCGCAATTTTTTTTTCTTTTAATGTAAAAACGTATCTTTCCGATCGCGAAGTTTACGATACGCCGGTTAATGAGCTCGCGGGAGAAAGGAAACGGACGATGCAGCGGTGAAAGCTCTTAAATTAACTTCTTATTTTACCTTATTAAGTTTCCGTCTTTGCGATTTAACAGGTCGTTCGATCTCGCCGCGTCTGATTCGTCTCGGAGTAAGGATTTTAATGCAAAATGTATATCACGTGGGAAACCACGTGTGACAAGTTTGACAGATGAAGACGTGTCGAAAGCAGAGCTTATACATATGTAGATTTTATTTTCGTGCTAATCGAATCTCTATATTGACGGAGCCTCGTCAATCTGATTTAACTATCGCAAATCTATCTGCCATTTCGGAAAATTGCGTATGATTTTATCTGAATGCTGGAGAAAACAGTGAAAGTATTTATTACGAATAGGAGAGAGATGCGCACGCTTTTGCTTATTTGCGAAGTTCATCGCACTTTTAATCACTCACGCAAAAGGAGATACAGATTTTACATGTTTATTATCTTGCTTTCTTAGGAGGTTGAGTTGGATTTTATCGCAGACATGATCAGTCTATAGATAACAAGCTGAAGTTTCATTGCTTTCCGTTGTAGATAATAGACACGATAGTACGTGGTATCAGTAAATAACTTTTTAATTATTTTCTGGTATAATAATACGTATATTTGCATATTAAAGCTCCACGATCTTTTATATTTTTATTGTTCATATTTTGCATTTTTTATAATTTTTTATATCTCTCTGTGAGCATCCAAGATTTTTTCGCGTGCATTATAAACATCTCTACAAACTGGCATAAAATATACGACTGCGATGCTATTAAAATGCCCTGCCTTCGCATAATTGTGCAAGTAATCATATCGCAAGTAGTGCGCTAATTAACGGTGCGCACAGTGCGACTGCAATTCTAATTGCAATTCTAATTTCTAATTGATACATATGTATATATTGTGCGCGGTTCATCGTTGCTTCATGATTTCTTATTTATATGAAGGTCGTTCTAACAATAAGAGTTTCACTTTAGAATTTTCTTTATTGTTATGATAATATTGCACAGCGATTATTTATTATATCTGCATTTTTAAATTTTGATCTTAAGATTTTTAAGTGGCGCATTTTAAATATACATTAAAGCACTTGTATGCATATATTTTCAAGTTACAAATAATGAGTCTAATTATTATTGAGCTTTCACTAACAGATGAAAATAATACTACGGCTTTCGTGCAAGTGACACGAAGCAATCAGAAATGGTCAAGCGATTTATTGGCAAATAAACCTGTCGAGACCAAGTCGCTTAATTACGAGTGCACCGGATGCATTTGATTCCATCGCGCATAACGGCTTAGATATGATAATCAATCTCACTAATCTTCTTTCATTCCACACGTTCGCATAGTGAATGGCAAGAAGTAGTGCAGATTTATATACGCAGTGCATTCATCTTTTTTCAGATCAGCTTTATGTTGATTTCATTAAGGAAAAATCAGATTAATGATATAAAATCAAATCGGTAAATAAATATGTCGTATAAATTTTTTCTTTTAATTTACGAATTAAACTTTAGTCGCGAATTGGTTTTCGTCTTTTTAGAAAAAATAGATGCATTTTTTATCGAAAGACTTTAATCAAATTACTTTATATTTTTTCAAAAATTTCAAATTTATAACTTTCATAAGAGTTTATCCAGAAACTCTCTTTCTTCCTAACTATTATTACAAACTTATTATTTTCTCTTGCGGTACAATTCCTTCCGGACGTACCCTTCTTTTTTCTTCTCCTCAGAAAGATGCTACAGTCTATCAGGAACAGAGCACCAAACTGTTTTACATTTTACCAAGTTTCTTTGAATTTTATGAGTTCGTCGCAGAAGAGAAAAGTCTATCGAAGCTCTTACAAGCTAATTATTCTCTTTCAGCCCGAACGATTTTCACTTCCACGACTAACAAAGTATGCATCCTCTTTTTTTCCAGGACAACGCGGATACCCGGCGGGACAGATTGCGCGCGACGGAGAGCCGCGTGCCGTGCGGTTCGGCGGCGAGCAGCGTTGGGGTGGAAGGCGTCGGCAGCGCGTGGGGTGTCCAAAGACGGCAGTCGCCGCCGCCCCTGGCATCGCGCAGGCTGGAGTCGGCCGCTGACGCCACCACCGCAACAGCAGCAGCAGCAGCGTCGTTCAACCCCGTCGTTGCCAGCACGCAGAGATGCGTAACTGCCAAGAAGAACGCCGTCGATGCCGTCGCGCCGAGACCGCTGCGGATCTACTGGGGTCCTCCTCCTCTCGTCGCTGAGACCAGCAAGGAGGATGCGATGGAGCCGGAGACCAAGGAGGAGGACGAACGACACTCGTCGACGTCGAGTCCCGAGGTAGCGCTCTTTTTATTTTTATTTTTGTTTTCTTGGATATTTTTCGCTTAGTATCTGGATTGGGAAAATTCGCTGAGGGGATGATAGATTTGTGTGTTGTACGTATGGGATTTTCTGATTCGCCAGGGGACTACGTGTTCTTTAAGATTGAAAACTCGTTGCTTTATACATATATAGTGTTTGCTGCGGATCAATTCCGATTGTTTAGCTAGAACGGTTTACGTGTGTGTGTATATATTTGTCTCTCTCCGGAGGTATATAAAGTCATGTATTTGAAAAGAGAGATCATACGGTTCGATCGTTTGACGATTTCGACCCACACACAAACAAATATTATATGACATCTATAGTTAATTTTAATACTTATTGCAATTGTAACATGAAACTGAAACGTTAATTTTGATTTAAAGTACGGATGTAATCTCAACAAACACTGCCAAAAAAATGTGTTAACATCTACACAACACAGCGTTTTCTCTTATATATAATAAGAAAAAAGGTTTTGTAAATGTATTGTAAACATCATATTAATAAATTCAAAAGATAAAAATTTGCTCGTTAAAGGCTTTATATCACACTTTTTATATAGTTTGTTTGCGTTGATATTAATATTGACGTGTCGTTCTATTTAAACTGCTGGAGCAACATGTCGATTTTGAGAGCTTAATAAAATTGCGGAATGATTAAAATTGTGCTGGTATGTGGACTGTCTTCTGAAAATAAAAGATAAACGTAACAAAAAATATTATATTAGTTGTCAGTCTAACAAAAATTATATAAAATATGTCGTAATCTTTTAATTATAAATTTTTCCCGTCCGTACAAACACAAATATATAATTGCGCTTCAGAATATAATTTCAATGACACAGAAATTATGCGCTGACATTAGCTGGATGTGTCATTCATTTCGAAATCATTTTGTTTACCAGTTTACCTCTGTAAAAGAGGCACAAAGGTTGAAAACCACTGCTTTAACACACGAATGTGCTCGTGGCGCATGAATGTATACCTACACCTTCACGAACGTATCCCGTATTGATTTTACGGAGCCCTCACCTTTCGTCTCTGTCTCTTGGTATCCGTCTCCCTTTCTCTCTTTCAACCAGCCATTCCTCGTCTCACTCGTTCTCCCGCGTGTATATACGCATTTCCTCTCTCCCCTAGGTCTATATCGTTTCGTCCTTTCTCTTTCGCTTGGGTCTGCCCTTTAAGTCGTCACCCTCTGCTGTGCGGCATCGTTTCGAGGATCCCTATTCATCCGCACTTGCGCACGTGTTGAAAATTTCAAGCTCCACGATGCATGGCACGTTCCTTTCCTATGCGCTACTCGATATGTACAGACGAAATTGATGCTTTTTACAGATGTAAAACTTGCTCGAACGTTAATCGTTCGAGTGAAGCTAAACGAAGTCGACAAATAAAATTCACACCTTTAATTAAATCGATAAACGATGCTCAACTTTTTTAAAGACTACTGTCGAATTGATCAGAAGGGATAAAATAACTATGCAACATCGTTTATTGATCTTGAAGATGCAAACTGTTGCGAAGGAAAATATTTGTCGATGAGATCGCGGGAACTTTTTACTGTATACATAAAGAAGGTATATCTTTCTCGTTACAGTTCTACCTGAGGAGAAGTAAACGTTACAACGAGGATGGCAGTAGCGAGGAGGAAACTAAACAGGATAGCATCTCGCTGCCCGGCCACAGGCTACCGTCTTCGTATCGCGGAACGTGGCCCATCAGAAGAGACGTATGGGCTAATCAGCAGATTGGCTTTCCGGCCCAGCAGAGCACATCACTCGCTGCGCACAATGTAAGTTGAACGATTATAACGGTGTATTGTGTTCTGGGATTGCCATCTCTCGCATATATACAGGGTGTCTGACATAAGGTGTCACACCGAAAATATAAAAGTACAGGGTGTCTAGTCGTCCTTGAAATTCTTAAAGTCCTTGAAATGTCCTGGGAATGTTCTTAAATTTTATTTTTAAATTTTACTAGACACTCTGAAGTAGATCTTGTTATTTGGAGACAATTTTTCCTGAGCAAAAATATTGAGGCATCAATAATTTTCGAGTTATAAGCGATTGAAAATAAAGGGTTTTTTACAAACTAAGCCTCGCGGAAATAAAATATTAACAAAATCACATTCTTCAATTAATTTCAAGTAGAGTTTACTTTAATAAAATTTTAATTTAAGGTTTAGTTATAAAGATACATGATGACAAAATTTGGAAACATGCAAAAATGATGGCTTCTCGACATTTTTGCTGAGGAAAACTCATCTTCAAATAACGAGATCTACTTGTATATTTTCGATGTGACACTTTATGTCAGACATCCTGTGTACAGGGTGTTGTGAAACCCCCATTGCATGTCCTTTTGCGACATTCTGACATAGTTGAAAGGACGGAAATTGGTGGTTCTCAAAGATCCCTGAAAAAAAGGTACAAAAGCTGCCTCGTCCGAGAGATGACCCAGAAAATCTCTATTAGATACTTGTGTGACTATCTGAGAAAGTATAAACGCAACATGATGTATGTATTCGCGAGCAGGACGTGGCCAGCGTGATGAGTTTCTCGTCATCGAACTCTACCGGTCTTGAGAGCCATTCTACGGAGTTACAAGGTCACCGGAGACTGGGTGCCAAGGTGGACGTGGTATACAATTTGTTGGGCATGCTAGAGAAGAACGGCCGGGATGATATGAGCACCACTCTACTCTCCATGAGCACCTCACTGGACAGCTGCCTGGTGATGAGGCAATCTGGATGTCTGCCGTTGCTCGTGCAGCTGATCCACGCGCCCCGACAAGATCCGGAGACCCGAGACAGAGCTATGCAAGCGTTGCACAACGTGATACACGCCAAGAGCGACGAGAGGGCCGGTCGTCGGGAGGCGCGAGTGCTACGATTCTTGGAACAGCTGCGCGACTATTGTCAGAACCTGAGGATGTCCGTGGAGAGGGACAGGACCGCAGTCGATCTCGAGAGAGGGCATCCCGCGGCGACGATAGCCGCGCTCATGAAACTATCCTTCGACGAGGCTCATCGTCACGCCATGTGCCAACTAGGTGGTCTTCACGCGGTCGCGGAACTCATCGAGATGGATCACTTGGCACACGGCAGCGAGAGCGACGATCAGAACTGCATTACGTTGCGACGATACGCGGGAATGGCATTGACCAACCTAACTTTCGGCGACGGCAACAACAAGGCGCTGCTCTGCTCTTTCAAGGAATTTATGAAGGCCTTGGTCTCGCAGCTGAGAAGTCCCAGTGACGATCTTAGACAGGTGACCGCGAGCGTTCTGAGAAACTTGTCCTGGCGCGCCGACAGCAGCAGCAAGCAGACCTTGAGGGAAGTGGGAGCGGTGACGGGTCTGATGAAAGCCGCCATGGAGGGTCGCAAGGAATCCACCCTGAAATCCATACTGTCCGCTCTATGGAATCTATCAGCTCACTGCAGCACAAATAAAGTGGATATCTGCGCCGTAGACGGCGCGCTGGCTTTCCTCGTGGATATGCTGAGCTACAAGGCGCCGTCCAAGACGCTCGCGATAGTCGAGAACGCCGGCGGTATCCTCAGAAACGTGTCGAGTCACGTGGCGGTGCGAGAGGACTATCGAGCCATCGTGAGAGAGAGAGGTTGCCTGCAAGTTCTCCTGCAACAACTGAGATCGCCCAGTCTGACCGTGGTCAGCAACGCCTGCGGAGCGCTCTGGAACTTGTCCGCGAGGTGTCCTCAAGATCAGCGTCTCCTCTGGGATCTGGGGGCTGTACCGATGTTGCGCAGTCTCGTTCATTCCAAGCACAAGATGATCTCGATGGGCTCCAGCGCGGCCTTAAAAAATCTGTTGAGTGCCCGACCCGGTTGCAATAATCTCGTTCATTTGGATTCCACCGCGCGCGGACTCGGATTATCGACCCTGCCGAGTCTGGCTGCACGCAGACAACGGGCCCTGGAGCAAGAAATCGATCAGAATCTAGCCGAGACATGCGACAACATCGAGCCAAGCACGTCGCCGATCAATAAGGACGACAAGTTTACATTTAAGCTCGATCACAGTCTCCTTGGCATCAACGCCCACGGTCTGCGCGCTTATCACTTGCACAGTCAACCCAGCACGTCCACCGCCAAGTGTAACGGAGTCGCCAGGAGCGAGAGTAGAGATTCCATGCGTTCGGTGACGAGCACGCACTCCGACACCATGTTCGAGAGAGTAAATCGTCACATTCTGAACGGCTCATCGCCTACCGATCCACAGATCAAGCAACAATCTTCATCGCTTCATTCCGCGGTCGGATTTGACGGCGCATGTGGCGACACTCACACGAAAGCCACTTCTTCTTCTTCTTCTTCCGAGAGGAAGTACACCTTGCGATACAAGAACGCTATACCTGAACGACTGAAATCATCAGACGGCTTCGACGAGCTAAGATGCACAAATTCTACTATATCGTGGGCTACTTCAGCGCCCAATCAAGAATCATCTCAGATCTCATTACACTCCTCCATCGAGAACAATATGTCTCTGATCGATCAAAGCGTGTCGTCTTCGTCCAAGGCCGGTAGTCAGTCCAGCGTTTCGGAAGAAGTCGAGGCAACTGTGTGCGCAAAGTCGGATTATCGTCGAGCAACCGCGAAAGCGGTCGTTGACAGCTCGAAACCGGTCTCTTATCTGCGTGATATTTCTCCCATGAAGGAGAACGCGAATTTCAGCACCGTCTACGCGGAGAAGGCTCTGTTGCGTCAACACGATACCTTGAACAGCATTCAAAAAGCGATTTCGCCTACGATCGGGCCGGATGGTAACCTGTTTGGCGATTACGCCGAAACAGACTTGGACCAGCCGACCGACTACAGTCTGCGCTACGGCGAGCAAACTATAGACGACGAGAAGCAACATTCCGGCTTCTTCTCGAACAACGATCAGGGACTCCTGCATGAAGATACGGTGAAAACTTACTATACGGAGGGAACACCACGCGAGACGTCCTTGAATTCGTCCAGAGCTACTTCCGCCTCCGATCTGCAGGACGATAGTCGTATAAGGAGCTCGTCGAAAAAGTTACCGGAGCGATACAAGAGGCACGTCGAGGATCATGGTGAATGCAAAGCGTTGTCCTTGACGGATGTGCCGAAATTGAACTTCGCCGAATCGGGGACGCAGTTGAATTTGCGAGGCGCGACGCATCTTACGGACGACGAGAGCGCAAATCATTCGTTGCAGTATGAGGAAGACTTGGGCAAGCAGCTCAAAGCGGTTCAAGAAGACGCGTCCATCCAAAATCATTCAAGGTATATATATAATTACATTTTCTAAATAATTATTTACTATATTTCATATTATATATGTACATAGAATATTAAATAATATAAAATTTGAATAATTTATTATTTATCTAATTATTATATTATTTATAAATGAGATGGATGAAATATTAAAATATATTATTATATTATAAATAATATAATATATATTTTTAAATAATCTATTTTCATTATATATAATCTTTGTTATATAACATCAGAATTTTTTTAATACGATCGTTTTGCGTTATTTGCGTAGTGTAAGAACAACGCCGATTTCGATGGTATTAGGAAACTCCGAATATAATGATGACCACGATGCGGAATCCAGTTCTAGGATTATTAGTTTAAGTAAGTTGAAATTTTTAGCCTCTTGAGTATTTTTCCTCTATAATTTAAATATATTTGTTTCTCACAAACAATACAAATTTGCAGACTCCAAACCAAATGATTGCAAAATAAATAAAAATCTACCATCGAGTGACATTGAATTCTCACCTGGCAATAATACTGGTTTAAAGACTTCTAATAACGACTCGGGATGTAAGTAATATAATATCGCAAAATTGAAAAAAAATAATATGTAACTATTCAAAATATAAATGTGAAATATCTTTCCAAATGTATCCAGATCAAGTCAGTGACGGGGACGAAGATGACGAGGATCTACTAGCTGCTTGCATCAATATTGGAATGCAAAATAATAGGTAAGATTATAAAATATTAATAATTATTAAAAAACATTTGTATAATTGTGTTATATATTATTTAATAAATTTGATATACTTTTTTTAGGCACAGGCATTCCTTCATAGGAAATAATCTCGAAAAGCTTCCTCGAGAAAATAATTTGACTCGATATCAAACTAGTCTCGCTCTAGATCAAGTCGAACATAATGGAACTGTAGAGTCTGATAATACGTCATTTAATATAAAATATGCGGAATCTCGTGGAATCGTAGCTGAAAGTAATTTATCAGAGAAAAACAAAAAAGATAATGAAAAAGATATTCAATCGGAAGCAGCTACAGTAAGATATTCTCTTACATCTTTGCTTATTTATTAAAATTTTTTATATCGATTTTTATTTTAATTGTATACTAAATTGCGATATTTCTTTTTTCCAGGTGAATAATGAATACATGCATAATATCAAGGAATCAAATAACGCTTCAACTACGACAGCAGTAAATGACGATAATCTTGATAATAATTTCTCAGCGGTAACTGTATCACAGAAACCTGACATGATGTTCTTAAATAAGAATGTATCCAATAATTTTACCGTAAATGATGATACAGTTCGAAATGAATCCATAACACAGATAGACGAGACAACGATCGAAGATCAGATCGCAGACATTTCATCGATGAAGCAATCATTTACGAAAGATTCCGAAAGTAGTGAATCGATTGACTCCGTCGAGCAATCCGAGCATGCTCTTCTGGAACTGTGTATCCAACCTGGTATAAAATCCGAAAGCAACATCGCCATCAACCAAAGCAATGCAGATTACGTTAAGACGCAGCTAGAGTTATATAATGAACAAATAGACTTCATAAAAGGAAAAAATAATATTCCGAGGAACTATCCGAGGTTGACGCGAGTGATAAACCGGAAGCACCGTTCGATATTGTGAGGACCTCGGACGTTTTGCATCGCGAAAGCGCGGATAAATACATAAAAGAGGAGACGTACAGACGACAGAGAGATCCCGATGCAATGATCGCTTCGTTGGATCGTTTGACGGCGACGTTAGTTCAACAAACCGAAGCCATACGCGAACGAGATTCCGGCACAATGAAGCAGAGCTTGACATGCGACACATGGAATGAGGATTCTCCCAACGATGTTTCCTTTCCCAGCATCAGCATAAGCGCACCGCTGGTTGCTTCGTTCAACAGCGACGCGCAGGAAGATCAGCGCACCAACATGTTGGAGAACCATACGCAAGTCGAGAATAACGAACAGATCGGCATGACGGAATCAAAGATCATTCAACGCGAAGCCATCAAACTGGCGGAAGCCGTGGACGCCGAGGCGAACAATCAGAACGAGCTTGAGATCACGAGTTTGACGTCTATCGATCTTGATGCGATCAAACCACCGTCCTCGATGGGAAGTTTGGTGTCGTTGACCGCGAGCTACGCCGGTCCCACCGACAACAATATTGACACATTCGTCAACCGGGAGAGGTGTTACTCCACGTCTCTGCCACCGGTATCAACAAAATATTCCGTCGATCCTCGCAACGTGCGGAAAAAGTCTCTGCCACTCGGCGTGGTGGCCAAACGAGCGCTAGGCCAGAGCCAGAGTCACACCTCCAGTCTGGAGAATCTCCTGAACGAGTGCACCAGTTCGCACTTAGAGAATGTCAAGCCGCCGTCCATGATGGACGAATTGCCAGACGCAGGCGATATGGAGAACAGCATGCTCAGCGTAGCCAGCATCACGTCGGAGATCGCGGACTCGAAGGACCAGGACTCGCACAGTCTGACCGGTAGCGATTCGGTGGTGTTCGAGATGCTGAAGCCGGTCGCCAATGTATTATCCATGACGTGTATGCGTTACGTTGAGGGTATGCAGAACAGCGCGAACAACAGTTTGAGCGAGTGCCTGGAGAACATCAATCCACCGTCCTTATTTAACGAGGTGAGCGAGATGGATGAATCGACGATGGAGGCGACCACCAATACCCTGTGCAGCGACACACTGTGCATAGAAACGGAATTGCACACCGACGAGGCGGTGCACTCGATCGTGGCGGAGGTGATCGACGAGGCGGAGAACGACACCGACGAGGCGGTCACGCCGATCTCGTCCGAATACTGCGTCAGTAGCTCGGCAGAATCGACGCCGAAACGGCGGCCGCATCTGAAGACCCACTTGACCCCGAAGCAGAAGCGGAACCTAACGAAGGAGAGATATAAGACATACACTATCGCCGCGGAAATCGTTAAGAAGGAACAAGAAGAACGCCGGAAGCAAGATGGTGCCTGCAGCAACGAGGGAGGTGATCAAATTCCACGCGGAAAGTACTCCACCTTCTCAAAACTGACGCCCAAGCAACGCAGGCAAGAAAATAGAGCGAGATTCCAGACACAGGTGTTGGAGAATCCCTTCCCGGATATGAACTCGGCGCAAACCAAGGAAGCGCAAGAATCAGTTTCCCCTAGAAATTCCGTCGAGAGGCAAGAATCTATGTCTCCCAACAAGGTCTCCTCGATTCCTACACTTACAAAGTTACCCGTGTGCAAAGCGTTGAGGAGGAAACGCGGAGATTCCCAGGAGAACAAAGAGCGATATCGCACAAGGACGTTGAACGATTCGGAAACTATGTTCAAAGAGATCGAGCGCAATCCCATCGCGACGGAAGAAAGGCAAATGAATGAGGAAATTCAAACCATATTGCAGCAAAATGCCACCATCGTGTTGAACACTTTGAACGAATCGAGTAAAGTTAACGGAGACGACATTTTGCGTTGCGAGACTGTCACCTTGACGTCGTATGATTCCGAGTTGGATCATAATCTAAGAATGCGCTTTGTAAACGGGCTTTCGAAGAAACTGATGAGCACTCAACATGTCGACAACGCACAAACTCTTGCGATGAATATCGATCATGAAGAAGCTGAATACGTGGAGGTCGCTCATGAAGACTCGGCAGATCCGATTGACTCGGCTAGCGAGGAGTCCAACTACGGCGACGAGGAACAGGAACCGAGAGAGACGAAGAGGCCGCGAATAATTAAACCGGGAATGCCGGGTCGAGATCCAAGCGCAGATTCCAATGCGACAGACAAATCCGAGCCGGAAAGCCCGAAGGCGATTCGTGGACGAAGGAAGGCGCTTTATTCTAACCCGATAACGCGAAAACCGACCCCGCAATCGTCGCCCTTGAAGCAAGTAAACCTCGTCAGCGGGATACCCATCGGTCGCAGCAACACGTCGCCCATCGTCAGAGCTACCAGAGCCACCACTTTGCGACAGAGTAACAATAGTTCGACAGCTACTACGAAAGATTCTCCAAAGTCCAACACGAGTCCAAAAAGAACCCTACCTGACGCGGAAAGGAAAATGCGAAACATGGCGACCGTATCTAAGAGAGCCTCCGTACCTCAGAAAGGATCCTCGTTGACTTTCACAAAATCCACTAAGCGTCACAGTACACCTCCAGCCTGCTCATCCAACTACCAGAGCGACAGTAGATTACCAGAGGTCCCGATCAAGCCACTGGAGCGTCAAGGAACTTTTACGAAGGACGAACCGGAAGTAGAGAACGCGCCAACAGTGCATTCCGCGTCTTCTTCCCCGGTAAAGACGAAGATCGCCAAGCCAATTAAAGGCGTTTCATCAAAGATATATCCGGCGGCGATGGCGGGAAAATCCAAGATCTCCGTGAAAGCGCAACCAGTGTATCAGCAGAAAACGACGGTCAACAGTTCCGAAAAGATGCAGCCGCCTAAAAGCTTGTTGATGGCGCCGAAAAAGGTGTCCTCTGGGAAGATAATTACACCGCCGAAAGTCCTCAATGGTAACCCGTCCCAGAACGACAAGACTCTCCTGAAGAAGGTCGATTCTCTCGGGCAACGATCCAACAGCAACTCCAGCATAGTCTCCAATTCGCCTATGGGCGTGCAAAATCGTAAGGCGAAGGAGGCGACGAGTAAAATTGCGAGTCTCTGGAAGAGGGTCGAGGAGAGCAAGAACAAGCAGCGTTTCGAGAAACCAGACACCAGGCAGTGGATAAGGCCAGCCAATAGCGCCACTGAGGTAGACGTTACACCTGTCGCCGGTACGTTCAACAAACCGCCGGCTTACAGATTGTTTCGCAGCTCCACGTTTGAGGGGATCTCTCAGGAGGACAGCAGCAGCGGTGAAACATCACCCTACAAGTCCAAGTGCAGACCCGCGGTTCTAGGAAGCACGCAAGTCGGATTTGCCGGGCCAAAGTATAGAAACTCCTGCGACTTGACGGGCGTGAACGCCAACGAGGCGCCCTGCAAGATCCCGGTGAAGTCGTCCGAGTCGTACAAGCGCCAGACGACGCAGATAGGCGACAGCTTGGTGACCATGAGGAAGCAAGAAAGCGCCGAGCTCGGAGTAGAGACGGATCCTGCCAAGAGGATATCCAGGCTCGGCTCCTTCATCCAGGTGGACCCGACAACGGCAGCGGCGGAAAATGGCGTGCGGACACCGGCCTCAGCGATCGTGCCACCCTTCAACTACAAGCCAGACATTTCATCGCAAGCGGCCAAATCTAAGGACGAGGATAAATTCGAGACGACAGATTGCCACGCGGAGATAGTCACGGGATCGGCCAGGGTGACGACGGTATAGGGAACCCGGCGGGATTCCCAGAAACGAAGCGCATAAGTTCTGTAATAATCGCCTCCTCTTCGCGTTCCAAGCTAGTCATTGTACATTCGCTTGCTTCTCTATGTTCGCCCACGTACATTCGTCACATGTGATACATATTACTAGATAATTTTAATCATTTTCCTTTTGCTGTCTCGTTGTATGCAGGGTTGAGATACGCATACAGATCCTTCGACGCATTTTACGCGAAATAAAAAAGAAAATAGTCACGTATGAATAATATACCCTTGATATATATATATATATATATATATATATATATATATATATATATATATATATATATACATATACATATATTGTATGCGTAAACATCGCGATGCCAATTTCTTCGACACCGGCAAAAAAAACCGTGTGAAATACTAGCGGGAAATCTTAAGATCATTCCTGTGTCCATTTTATCTGTTGTATATATATACATGATAATATAGAATAATTTTCCGAGTTTGAAAGAAGAGAACCACAGTCGAAATTCAATAGTGCGTAGCGAGATAATTCTGGATCGGTTATTTATTCAATTTTGTATATATATAATATTGAAAGGAACACGAGCTAAGAATGTAGAAAGTTTTAGTAGTACGTGTTTAAACCTATCTACGATGGTGATAAAAAACATCGTTGTACATCCTTGTACGCGAATGTGAGAGAATAAGAGCCCAGCGATCTGTATTTTGTTCCCATCGTATTAATCGACTCGTACAATCTTTCTCTCTCAAATGGATGCAAAGTCTAATTACTTTTTTGAAGACTGATAAGTAGGGCGGTGAAGAAATCTGGAAATTTAAGCTCGAGCATCTTCGAAGATTAATCATAACGAGGTAGTAAAGTTTGTATCGACTGTGTGAACGTAGAGCGGTCTAAAGTAGTACGCTAAAAACTGGGATTATAATATAACGGGACAAACAAATTTTATAAGCATTATCTTAAGTTTCTAGTCTACAAGTAAAATATACATTCTATTTTCGTCACATATGTATACTATACATGTATCGCGGATATTCGTTTCGCTTCTGAGTGGCGTCTATTAAACAAACACGTATATTTCTCCTTCAGAGATAAATATATTATTAAAAGGGTGTACAGATCATACACACAAATGCAATTAGATTTTACTCATAAGTCTGTGAAATCGAAATTATATTTTTATAATTATTATTTAATGTGGTTTTGTCTTTCATTCGGACACGTGCAAAAAATATATACTTTTTTTTATTCTGTTTTAATATTCTTTTATCGTGTCAATTTTCCTTCTGTGGGAATCGAATCGTTGTCGAATTTTCACCAGAAGGAGAAATTATTTGGCATATGTGAATCAGAATCTATTATATATTTAATTTTTAGTTAAGAGATTTCTTATATATACAATATATATATAAGAACACTTTTGCCTTGTTCCAGTTCAAGTTAATTAAATTTAACTTTGCCAACTTGGAACCATATCAAGGTATCTTTGCGTTGTTTCTTAAAATATATATTCGATCTGTACATCACAAGATTATTGTTTATTTTTTTATTTTTTTTTACGTTATTTCCGCTTTAGGTTTTAAGAATTTTCATTACGTTTCGTGCTTTAAATTCGCCACATATCTTTATAGTTTGTACATTATTACTTGCAGTACAATAAAATTTATAGCTAAGAATACCCCCTTTTTTATCGTAAACTCTAAAGAGATGTGTCATCAACTATTGTCCGCAACTATTAAAGAATAAATGATGTAGCGTGAATAAAAAATATTTATTAATCCTTGCAATATTACTTATCATATATTGGACATTCATACAAATTAATGGATTTATCATCAGATACCGACGCGATAACGTTATTTCGTTGTGGATTATATTTTACTGCCCATACCTATAACCATTAAAAAAATTATCTGTATCTGTATTAAAATCTTAAAAAATTGACATTAAAGATACATTTCGTCTGAAAATAATTTCAAGTTTAAAAGATATACCTGATCTTTATGTTCTTCAAATGTATGCAGACATTGTCTTTGTGCTAATTCCCAAATCTTGACTGTATGATCAGAACTGCTTGATGCAAATTGTTGACCATCTGGTGAAAAAGCTACGCCAAGCACCCAAGAAGCATTGCCTGACATTGTTCCTGCTAGATTTGCATCCTTGCTAAATAAAAACAACAAAAAAAAAAATATATAATATATAAAACTGTTATTATATAAAATATAAAATAATGAATTTTAATATATAAAGCCAGTATATTTAAATTATAAATTTATAATCTCTCCTTACACGTCATACAACTTCATATGTCCATCATCGGATGCTGTAAGAAGCAGTTGAGAATCTGGTGAGAAACATAGAGATCTGATAGGCATTGCATGACCTAAAAAATATAAATTCGATTTGAGAGAATATTCCAATACATCTTAATCATCTTTGCAATATATTTGAATTTTTTAATTTGAATCTACCTTCTAATGTACGCAAAACTTTTCCATAGGCAACATCAAAGATATTAATAATCCCATCTATCGCGCCACTTGCAATATATTTGCCATCGGGACTCTGAAAAATGTAAAATTTCAAAAATTGCATGATATGTATAATTAAAATTTTTATTTAAATACTTACATAAGCAACACTCAATGTAAATTTTCCACCTCTTGTATCTAATGTTTGCTCTTGTTTACCACTTTCAGTTCCATATAAATGTATTTTGCCTGCATGACTGCCAGATACAATAAATTTATCATCTGGGGAAAAGACAACGGTCCAAATATCCACCGGACCAACTTCAATGCTCGATAACTTGTCTCCGGATTGTAAATCCCACAGTTTTAAACTTGAGTCAAGGGAACTGGACGCACATTCTGTAAATTTACAGTGAAATTTAAATGTAATAATTATAATATTCGATAATACCTCAAGAAAATAATTTCATTCATTTACTTGATCCATCCGAGCTGACAGCTATGGACACAACTCCTAAAGAATGTCCAGTCAATTTATGCTTTAGCTTTAAAGTACCATCTCGCAGTTCCCATACCTTTACCGCATCATCTACGGAACCTGTTACTAGGTATTCTGCAGTCTCATCTTCGTTGGATCGTATAGAATCTCTATCATGTAATATCATAGTTAAGAAAAATACAGTTCTTTCATCCAACAGCAAATTAAGATAACACTTTGATTGTACCGTGAATCTTCATTATCCGCTTGAATATCCTTCTTTCTCTTTGGACAACCCCATGCACAGGTCCATATACTGTCCTCGTGTGCATTTTCCGTTTTGTGAGTTAAAGAATACTAGAAAAGTAAGAATAAAGTAGATAAAAAGAGAAAGAAACGATAAATACAGATTATAAATATGAAAGACAGCTTACTCACCATTTTAAGACAAATAAATTATTATTAAAATTGATTCAAAAGCAGTGTGTCAATTTATTCCAGATGCACTTAAATATTAATATATATTTGCCATCCACTCTTTTTATAATATTTACAATATAAAAGATATATTAATGTTGAATGTATCAGAGCAAGCAAAAGTTGCCTCCAAATCTCTTTCCTGATTACTAGATGCGCGCACTCTGGTGTGAATCGTTAAAATCAAATTTGGCTAAACAAAACGGAATTTTCAGAAGGTTAAGGTTCACTCAAACACGTGTTGTTGGAATCGTCTTGCAGCATAGGAGAAAATGGCAGGGAAGAGTTTAGCTGACAAAATAAATGCCTTGATTACGGCGAAGCCGGATTTTGGCTCAGATGAAGAACCCGAAGAGACGAAAGCGAAGGTGGTGGAATATTTCGACGAGAACGATGCCTCGGAAGATGAGTTGCGGCACTCCAAAATTCGCAGACAAAATATTGATACCTTGGACAAGGTGGATGAAAGGTAATTTATACAATTTAATTTAATGTATTTTTAATTAAATGTATTTCATATTCACATTTGTATACAAGATAATTTAAGATTATGCAAGATTTAAGTCTGAAATTTCGACTGATAAAATATGTGATTATATAGATACGCTGGTAAGAAAATTTCAAGGAAGGATATATACAGCGATGAAGATGATATGAGTGAAGATATAGAGAGCAAAAGTTCTGGGGAAGATGTAGAAGATGAAGATGTAGAAGATGAAGAAGTAGAAGATGAAGAAGTAGAAGATGAAGAGATGGAACAAAGGGGGAATGAATCAGATGACAGCGATGAAGTAGACTCGCAACAGGAATCTGAAGACGCTGAGAGTATGTCTGATACAGAGCGGGATGATAATAATACAGATGTGAACAATCTGCTGGATAAACAAAAGGACTCTACTATTAAAACCATGTCAGAAATAAATATTAGGGCAGAGATAGAGAAGGGCAATTGCATCAGGAATCAGTTCAAGTTTTGGGAAAATTCTTGGAGATGCGAATAAAGCTGCAAAAGTGTGTTACAATTAGTAATCAAATGCCACAGTATGACAAACATAAAAAACTCATATCAGATACAGACTTTGTGAAGAAGATCAACGAAACTAAAACAAATCTAGTACTGACGTTAGATAACATGTTGCACCTGAGAGATCTTTTGTTAAAACAATATCCTGAAACGAAAAATCTATGCGCCACTCCCAAGAAGAGAAAAGCCGACAAAGACGAGAATATAAACATGAATGATTCAATAGATGAAGAAATATCTTCCGACATCGAGGATGCATTAGAAAATGGAAAGAAATTGTCTAATGATGAAGAAGTGGAAATGACTGAAGAACCAGTGCCCCGAAAACGTCTCAAATATAATGATTACGAAAAAGTTTTACAAGAGAATCATAATTCTTACAAAGAATATAGAGATTCTGTTATAAAGAAGTGGAATGACAAGACGCGGATTGCTACAGGTTCGCTGACTAAAAGCTCAGGTCAAACTACGCTGAAACAAATTGAATTTGCCATGAGTGACATAAACAAGCTACGGAAGAAAACTCAGTTAAAACGCTCCGAGTATAATATTGTTGGTAAATCTTTGTCAAATGAAGATGATGACGGTAGAAGAATCCAAGAGTATGATCCGGAAATTTATGATGACGATGATTTCTATCATCAGCTTTTGAGGGACCTGATAGAGTATAAATCGTCGGACGTGACGGACCCTGTACAACTCAGTAAACAATGGATCCAATTGCAAAATATGCGTAAAAAGATGAAGACGAAAATCGATACTCGCGCGACGAAGGGCCGTAGAGTGCGATACAATGTTCACAATAAATTAGTCAATTTTATGGCACCCATCACAGTGTATGACACATGGACAGATAGTGCAAAGAACGAATTATACAATTCATTGTTCGGTAAAATAAAATCGACGGAGGAACAAATAAAGTAGTAATTATGGAAATATAAATTATTATAAGTGTATAATTTTTACCTTTGTAATATACAAGAATTTATGATGTAAATATCGACACACATATGTACATTTCCCAATTTATTCTCGTGATGTAATAAAAAATCTCTAATTGATATTTTTTAATATAAATTCTGTTATCATCGATGATATCTTTACACATTTTAATAAATATGACTGAGTATATATATAAACGAGCATTAAATTGATAAAAATTACTATATTTTGAATTATTAATATACTTTTTTAATTATATATATATAAAATTAGATTTTTACATCAGCAACGCATCAGCTACAGATTGGACTTGATGAAGCATTATACCCGATATCTAATCATTCTTAAATAAAGGATTTATATCATTTCTCTAAACTGTTTCGTTCACACGTTTATTTATGCACACTGAAACTTAATATCATATTTTAAAATCAAATTTAATTAAAATCGAATCTAATTATATTTTCATCAAGTGAAATAAATAAAATTTGAAATCGTCGATTATATTTTTAATGACAGATTATTTTTTATTCCTGAATTTTTATTGTGTACATAATTTTAATTATTGAATTTTTATTATGTTTAAAATTTTTTTTATTTGCCAAATTTCTATTATGTACCTTACATAATTTGTATTCTTCAATTTCTATTATATGATTATAATTTTAATTCGCCGAATTCCTATTATGTACATAATTTTAATATCTGAATTTCTATTATGTAAATAATTTTAATTCCCGAAGTTTTATTATGTACATAATATTAATTGATCGAATTTCTATTATGTACAATTTCAATTATTTACATAATAGAATTACGGCGAATTAAAATTATGTATATATAATAAAAATAAAAAATTAAAATTGTGTGCATAATAGAAATTCAACGAATTAAAATTATGTATATAATAGAAAATCGAGAATTAAAATTATGTACTCCCTCATAATAAAATTATGTACATAATTGATATTCGGCGAGTTAAAATTATGTACATTTGCTAATTATATATTATTTTTTATTTACTCGTCGAAAACTCCCGCGCGTAGTAACACATGAAATCGGCCGATTCTGACGTCACAATGTTACCAACTTCAGCCAGCGCCGCCATTACTCAGTCCAAGTCTAGCGGCGAAGGAGCAGAGGTGCGTCGCGAATGCTCCGCGTCTCGTCTAGATTTCGTGGACGTGTGACGCGAATAAACGGTAGTGCAAGTCCGGGAGTGTCGTGCTTTGACGTGATAGACCGAATAATATGCTCGAAGAGCATTCGGGCGTCGATGGGGACTTGGGGACCCGGGAGCCTCGGAACTCGCGAGTTGGTGATCGGAGGGATGAGGGAGGAGGGCGTTTCTCGTTCGAGACTGTTCCTCCGTGTTTATTGTGCATATTTCGCTGCTACTCGGTCGCCCGAGACCCTCGAGATGATCCTTCATCGTCTCGAAGGGTATCCCGGCGTCGACGGGGCCCCGGGAGTCTAGGATCGTCGCGAATTCGCGGGATTGCGAGCTATGGGTGGGTAAAGGGGAGGGGGACTATGGCTTGAGACATTGTTTCGACGGTATTTGGACCATTTCTATATTTATCGTGCGGTATTTCGGCATCGTCCTCTCGACGAGGAGTTTCGCGAGTGCTCAAGCGTCTTCTGGAGTGCGTGAATACCGTAAAAAGTGTTAAAGAAGCTCAACGTGATTGTAACCGTCGATTCAAATGCTAGGGGTGGGGGGCTATACCCCTCACTCGCTTGAGCTTTAGTGACGCTTCCGCGTAACGGCGCGCAAGTGTTACTTCCCCTGAGTGAGCATCAGTTCCTTCGCGATGCTACGTAATAACGCGGCGCGCCGGGAGATGTCGCGATAGACCTCGATAGACACCACGAGTGAAATTAAGGGCATTTCGATGCGATTAATATTCGGACGCTCGCTTTCCCGAAATCGGAAAAGTATATTTTATTAACGATGTTTTGTTCGTGTTTTTATTCGCGAATGCGATATCGAACGTGATCGAACGGGATGCTCGGAAGTGCCGAATGCATTCGCGAGTGATTATTTTTTTCGTATCGTCCGTTTATTTCGAAGTGCATCTGTGTGTGTAGTGAAGTGCAAGAAATAATAATTGCAAAAATAAAAAAAAAGAAAAAACAGTGCAGTGACCAGTGCCAAACCATATGGGATTACAGCAGAGCAACAATGGAATATAAAAGTGGATATATGTATAAAAGGAGAAAGGCTTGGATAATCGACTTAATGCAATGTAAGTTAATTTTTTCTTTATGTTACATTCGGAAAATAATGATCGACTTAAATGCGGAGCATTAAAAATTTTTTTTATTTTTCGGGAGGGAATTACTGTAGCGACTTTTATTCTTTCAACTAACTAATATAAAAAACTAATATCAAGAAAAACAAATCTAATCTGAGGAAAAATAAACCTAACTTGAGAAAAAATAATAAGTACTAATATTAAAAATTATAAAACAAATATTAGGATAAATAACACTAATATTAGGATAAATAATTCCAATATTAGGACAAACGTATTTTTGTTCTAAATCATTAGTTCTAAACTATTAAAAGTTAATATAATATTGAGAAATAACGCGCACGTAGCGTTAAGTAATATAGCTTCCGTATTAAAATATCAATTCTTTAAAGTCAGATGCCACATGTACATCACTAAAAACACGGTATTTGCAAGTGCCAATAAATTTTAAGCGGAGATAGATCGTTGTCGATTTGGAAGCAAAATATTTAAAAAGTGACCGACTTTAAGAAATTTCAATACTCATGCTCAGTTGTATTTAGAATCAATTCTTATTGTTTGGAACGTTCGCAATCGAAACCTGTATCAATAAAAATACAACAAATTGAAAATCTTGAAATTTGAAGAAAATCATCTTTGACAGGTTTCTTAAACTACTGTAATTTTTAAGGCGTGTGAGTACAAGCGAAACGAAAATCACTTCACACATCTATAAACGATTTTTAATAAAACTGCTGATTTGGATTTGCGTTATTTTCAATTTGAAAAATTCATTTTTGACAATTTTGTTTAAACTGCTGTATTTTTTAAAGTGTGCGACTTAAAGCAAAACGAAATTTATTTTACACAACTATAAACAATACTTAATAAAACTGCTGATTTGGATTTGCGTTATTTTCAATTTGAAAAAATTCATTTTTCACAATTTTGTTTAAACTGCTGTATTTTTTAAAGTGTGCGACTTAAAGCGAAACGAAATTCAGTTCACACATCTATAAACGATTCTTAATAAGACTGCTGATTTGGATTTGCGTTATTTTCAATTTGAAAAAATTAATTTTTCACTGTTTTGTTTAAACTGCTGTATTTTTTAAAGTGTGCGATTTAAAGCGAAACGAAATTCACTTCACACATCTATAAACGATTCCTAATAAGATTGCTGATTTGGATTTGCGTTATTTTCAATTTGAAAAAATTCATTTTTGACAGTTTTGTTTAAACTGCTGTATTTTTTAAAGTGTGCGACTTAAAGCGAAACGAAATTCAGTTCACACATCTATAAACGATTCTTAATAAGACTGCTGATTTGGATTTGCGTTATTTTCAATTTGAAAAAATTCATTTTTCACAGTTTTGTTTAAACTGCTGTATTTTTTAAAGTGTGCGACTTAAAGCGAAACGAAATTCAGTTCACACTTCTATAAACGATTCTTAATAAGATTGCTGATTTGGATTTGCGTTATTTTCAATTTGGGGAAAATCTTGAACTTTTGATTTTTCACTTACGACGCGAGCGATCGACGTACTATCATTTTCGGTATTAAAAAAATTAATTTCTTATAGTCAGTTGTCAGATTCACATTAATATATATTAAAAACACATTTTCAAGTGCGTTCAAATTCTTTAAGCGAAGATAGATCGATTTCGATGTTGAAGCGAAAAATTTAAAGAGTGACAAGTTTTAAGATATGTCAAATATACATGCTCAGTCGTGTTTAAAATCGTTTCTTGTGGTTCGGGACATTCGCCTGCGAATGTTACATCGATGTACAAAGCAGAATTAAAAAATCTTGAACTTTGAAAAAATTCGTCTCTGACAGTTTTCTTTAAACTGCTGTATTTTTTAAAGTGTGCAACTACAAGCGAAACGAAATTCACTTCACACATCTGTAAACGATTCTTAATAAGACTGCTGATTTGGATTTGCCTTATTTTCAATTTGGGGAAAATTCATTTTTGACAGTTTTGTTTAAACTGCTGTATTTTTTAAAGTGTGCGACTTAAAGCAAAACGAAATTCATTTCACACAACTATAAACGATTCTTAATAAGATTGCTGATTTAGATTTGCGTTATTTTCAATTTGAAAAAATTCATTTTTGACAGTTTTGTTTAAACTGCTGTATTTTTTAAAGTGTGCGACTTAAAGTGAAACGAAATTCAGTTCACAAATCTATAAACGATTCTTAATAAGACTGCTGATTTGGATTTGCGTTATTTTCAATTTGAAAAAATTCATTTTTCACAGTTTTGTTTAAACTGCTGTATTTTTTAAAGTGTGCGACTTAAAGCGAAACGAAATTCAGTTCACATTTCTATAAACGATTCTTAATAAGACTGCTGATTTGGATTTGCGTTATTTTCATTTTGAAAAAATTCATTTTTGACAGTTTTGTTTAAACTGCTGTATTTTTTAAAGTGTGCGACTTAAAGCGAAACGAAATTCAGTTCACACATCTATAAACGATTCTTAATAAGACTGCTGATTTGGATTTGCGTTATTTTCAATTTGAAAAAATTAATTTTTCACTGTTTTGTTTAAACTGCATTATTTTTTAAAGTGTGCGATTTAAAGCGAAACGAAATTCACTTCACACATCTATAAACGATTCCTAATAAGATTGGTGATTTGGATTTGCGTTATTTTCAATTTAAAAAAATTCATTTTTGACAGTTTTGTTTAAACTGCTGTATTTTTTAAAGTGTGCGACTTAAAGCGAAACGAAATTCAGTTCACACATCTATAAACGATTCTTAATAAGACTGCTGATTTGGATTTGCGTTATTTTCAATTTGGGGAAAAACTTGAACTTTTGATTTTTTTACTTACGACGTGAGCGATCGACGTACTATCATTTTCG